CCACTGTCTCTACCATCTCACAACCCTCTTTATCACTTTCATTCTCTATCTCTAATCACTGTTATCACTCTTTTCACTTCTTTCACTCTCTACGCTCTCATCATCATCATTATCATCATCATCTCTACTTCTTCTACTACTCTCTTTCACTCTGTATCATCTCTATCACTATTATCAGATTAATCATAGCTGTACAGACTGCAGAGTCAGCTATTCAATCTCATTCATGAATTTAAAGAGATATATATAACATCACATAAGATTTTATTACAGAGTATTTAACAGTATATACTATAAACACAGAGATCAAAATATGATAGAGATAGTAAGAGAGAAGTAGAGATAGTAAAAGTAATAAAAGAGACTGTAAAGTAGTAGAGATAATAATAATAATAGAGAAGCTAAAGAGTGAAAAAAATAATAGAGAGAGATAATAGAAATAATAGAAGTAAGAGAGATAATAAAGATAGTAAGAGAGAGATAGAATAATAAGATAAGAATAGAAATAGAGAGTGAAAGTAATAGAGAGTACTGTGAGATAATAAAGACAGTGATAATAATAGAGATGATAAAGATAATAGAAGTGATAAGAGTAAGTAATAAAATAAGAGTAGAGATATAAAATGAAAGTAATAGAGAGAGCTGTGAGACAGTAAAGACAGTAATAATAATAGAGATAATAGAAGTGATAAGAGTAAGTGATAAGATAAGAGTAGAGATGTGAAGTGAAAATAATAGAGAGAGTTATAAAGTGATAGAGACAGTGATAGTAATAGAGATAATAGAGATAATAGAGATAATAAAGATAATAGAAGTAATAAAAGTGAGTAATAAGATAAAGATAGAGATATAAAGTGAAAGTGATAAAAAGTACTATAAGATGTTAGAGATAGTAATGATAATAGAAGATAGATAGAGTAATACAATTTCAGAAACACCCCCCCCCCCCCCCCCCGTAAAATGAAATCCCTCCAATCTCCCATGGGAAAATATAACAATACCCGCCCAACATCCCCGCCCCCCAACTCGCTATCCCCCACAGCACGGCAGAGCACTTAACGCCAAAACCCTACAACAATTCAACCAACTCCGTCGCAAACCGCGCTTTCAGGCCCAGCTTCTGGTGACTTC